CTACTGAAGGTGATTAAGAGAAAAAAACTGGTCCAGTCCAAGGTAGTAAGATCCATACCAGATATTGCTCACCACACCTACAACAGTAAAAATACAATAGCTGAGAGGAGATCCTAGATTCATCTATCCGACTGTAAGCTGGTGATGCCCTTATTCTCATAACACAAGCCAGGGACAGTTAGCTACATGCCACAGCTCCCTAAGGTGAGCCTGACTGCACAGGGGACTTTTCCAATAGGGAAGAGTCGTCTCAAACTCAGTGAAGAAACCATCGGCCAACGAGGGCATAGGGTGTGATATAAAAATATGCAGGGACAGGTAGAAGTAGGGCTAGGAAACCAGCTGAGAAACAGATGTCACATCTCCTCCCTTAGGTAGTTTTCACAGTATTAATGGATCTCTAGTGGAAAGAAGAGTATAACAGTTGAAAGACCTCACTATACAGGATGTAATGACCTTAGAATCAGAATGTGTTGTCAAAATTGTAAGTTTGAACAAATTATGTTTACTGTTTGACCCCATTTTACCTCACTGAAGTAGTGCATTGGCACAAACCTACAAGGTCCCTCACATTTTCAAGTCAGCATTTTTAGAAGTTCCTAGGGCCAGATATAAACGCTGGGGTGACCGTGCTTTTACCGTTGCAGCCCCTAAATTGTGGAACAGTCTAACTCCTAATCTTAGGTCAGCTACTGACCTCCGTGCTTTTAAATCATTGCTTAAAACATATTTATTCAGCTTGGCTTATGAAAAACAGTAGGCCTGATGCATTCCTTTTATTTCCTTTTGGTTTTAATTTGTTGAACATAGGTTAACTGTGTAGCTGTGTTATTGTGCTTTTATTTTTATTTTTGGGCTGATCTTAATTTCTCTGTTTTAGTCATCTATTGTGATTCTATTCTGCTGTGAACGGTGCTTTGGTCAGCTGAATGTTTTTAAAGTGCTATATACACAAATTTGAGTTATATTGTTTGTATTTGTTCTACTGTGGGACTACAATTAGGAACAGCCCCCCCAGTCAGTTGAAAGAATTGGCAGACTACAGGATTACCGTGTATACCATAAGGGCATGATAAGTTTTTTTCTCTAACATTGAACAATGTTAATCTTTCTTTACTGTTTCCACCGGCGAGACAAAGGAGATGTTCCTCCATTGGCAGGGTCCTGAAAATTATACCTGCTATGTACGCTCTGTTCCCGGCAAGAACGCTCACTACCTGCCGCTGGGCCTGATGCAAGGAAACCTTCAACATCACTATTCTGCTACCCGGTTTGTGAACCAAACCATCTGAAGGATAGACACATGGTGAACATACGGAGACAGCAAGCTGAGACCAAGACTCCCCTCACTGTGGCAGGGCAGCTGTGCCCTGGTGCAGCTGCTGATGTCCCTTCACATGCCTCCTTGAGAGAAGACAAGGAGCTAGGGGAAAGCTGTGATCTGCATCCCACCTACATCGCAGGACCAGGAGAGAAGGCAGGCCCCAGAGGAACGGCTAATAACAGAGTGTACATAGACGAAATTGGTATACGAGTTCAAAGTTAAAAATTAAATAGAAACAGAGTTCGAACCTTTTCTTTCCCGGTGGATCACAGTAAATGAAGATGTAGATTAGATTACTATTGCAGGACATGTTATGAATTGGTCAAATAGGATGAACTTACTGTCGATTGCTCAGCTTATTAATTTCTCATTTTTGTATTTGTTTTTAATTTTTCCAGTTTGCATTGAAAAAAGAGAAATATGAACGATTCATGCT